TATATATATATATATATATATATATATATATATATATATATATATATATTTAAATAAACTGGAAAAAAATCCTGACAAAGAATCATAATTCATGCTTGAAAGGGATAATATAGTCCAGCTTCACATACATCAGAGTTTAGCATTCCTTTTATGATTTGATTTAACTTCATTAAGCCTTAAAGCTGCAGCAGGAAACTTTTATAAAAATATCTATACGTTTATACATATTTGTTAAAATTATCATGACATAGTCGTCCTAAAACAATGGCCTAATTAAAGTTAAAAGGTGACGTAGGCAATTAGCTTCAGGCAGCTTCTGTTGTGGTGAACCAGCTGTAGCGTAGCAGAGATAAGACCGAGTGAAAGTTTTCATAAAAATGCAAAAACAATATTTTTATATAAATAAAAGTTGCCTACTGCAGCTACACCTGGAATGCTGTTGCCAGACAGATTTCAGATAAAATAAAACTTGACAAATTTGACATCTACAACAGATGGGACTGGTATTAGAGTTCAAACATACTTGAAAACAACGGACCAGTCCAATCTTGTCTTGAGCATTTAGAAAGTCTAAATGTAGTTTATCAGTAATCCATTCAGTTTCAGTGAGATAATCCTCCGGTGGTGAAGTTCTCCTTTGAAACCTGCTCTCTGGTTGCCATGGAAGCGTATCCCTCACTTATTTGGAGGAGATTGCTTTATGTAATCCACTGTGTCAGATAACAAAGATCAAATCCCACAAAACTGAGGATCAGTTTCAGAACAAATTGCTAATTTTTTTTAAACATAAAATGAGTTTTTTCTTTTGTCCGATAATGGAACATCAGCGCAAATTTGGAATTAGGAATCCCTTCCTGTCTCCGAGGAGGCATGCGAAAGAGTGATTTCCATTTTTGCTCTTTTCTTAAAAGAAAATAACCTTCTGCATCTCGGTGTTGCTGCGCGCCGCGGTCTAATTAAACAGCTCGGTATTTAAAGTGTTGCCATTTCTCTTGAGGTAAAGGTGAAGTTTAACAAAAACTCAGGAGACAGAAACTCCACTGAAACCAGTAAGTGAAAAGAAAGTCCATTCTCTGTTACAGGATGGTTCATTTTGACTGACGTGACATAAGTAATGTGATAATGTCAGAAAAAAAACGAAAGATAATTGTATGGAAGTCATAGATACATAATCCTGTCACGATACATTTTGCTGGATGATAAATTGTCCCAGATGTTATTGCGATAAACGATAATATTGTTGTTTTGAGATCATTTTTAAATGATATAATGTTAATGGCAAAATAATCACACATCCTCAAGGATGAATAAACCTTAAATCCAAATGAACTTTTATCACTGAAACTGGAAGACGTTTTAAATATCCAAAATAAATTAACTAAACAACACAAAAAGAAAATAAAATGAATTATTAAGTCACTGTAAACAAAATTGTCCTGTATAAAAAAAATAATAAAAAAAAAGTGCTGATGCAGACCAAAGACTGAAGACTTCTGTCATCCAGTTTCTGGTAGAAAAACGAAAGAAAAATGAAAAGCAATAAATCCTGCAAATGGAAATTATTGAGTTTGTTTTA